TGGACGGCGGGGTGTGTCATTTCCCGTTTACGTACACGAATCTTGGTTAACTGTTCACCTAGAAAAGCTGGTCCAGTCGTGACAAAAGATGTTATGCAAGTGTAGTCTCTTCTCCAACTTGAGTATGGCACTGTTTTTAAGTTCACTGTCGCGCTGTTGTCATCTGTGACATAGCTGTCAGTCAGATGTAACACTGTTGCCATTTAGTTGTGACACTGCTATCAGTCAGCTGTGACACTGCTATCAGTCAGATGTGACAATGCTATCAGCCAGATTTAACACTGCTATCAGTCAGACGTGAAACTGCTATCAGTCAGATGTGACACTGCTATCAGTTAGATGCGACACTGCTATCAGTCAGATGCGACACTGCTATCAGTCAGATGTGACACTGCTATCAGTCAGATGCGACACTGCTATCAGAGTTATGTGACACTGCTATCAGTCAGATGCGACACTGCTATCAGAGTTATGACACCGCTGTCAGGTGTGTCACTGCTGTAGTTAGTTATGACACCGCTGTCAGGTGTGTCACTGCTGTAAGTTAGTTATGACACCGCTGTCAGGTGTGTCACTGCTGTAAGTTAGTTATGACATTGCTGTCAGGTGTGTCACTGCTGTAAGTTAGTTATGACATCGCTGTCAGGTGTGTCACTGCTGTAAGTTAGTTATGACATTGCTGTCAGGTGTGTCACTGACGTCAATTAATCCACATATGGCTGTGCACTCCTTATTAAACAGGTATTTGGCAAGCTGTGTTGTTAACAGCCAGGCTGCGATATATGCGCCTTACGGCCTAACAAATTCGACTGCAGCAAATCTTTAATTATTCACATTCTATGCACTGCTGGTTAAATGGCAGCAAGTCTATTTTACACCCCCTACCCTAAATGGGGCCCCAGAACCCCAAAATTCGTACACAGTACATCAAGTCCTCGGAACGGCAGTCTGTGACATTCAAAGAGATAGGACAGCAGGGGGTTGAAGCACACCACAGAAGAATGAATGCGAGAGTCGGGAATCAGAAACTGGCTACATTTTATGGGGCGCCAGAGAGATGAATACGAGTTATTCATTTAAGTTATTTAGAAAAACAACACAGAACATGCCCCCCCCCCTTTTCCCGCCGATGTAAACGCGATGGGACGAGAACAAGAAAACGAAGAAAGAGCAAATCAACATTACTGAATATCAACGTGAACAAGTTGCCCGTGTGGGTTCCGGGGCCCTATTATAGGGGAAACAAGAATAGATCCACTGCCTACCCAGAAGCATGTCGTAAGAGAAAACTAATTGGGAGCTTCCTTCGAAGTCGGAGTGCATCTGCTTGAGAGGCAAGGAACCAGCAGTCTGCATACAAATGAGTCAGATCTGTAAAACGGATGCACATGCAACACTCAGGTTCTGGAACAGGACTGCAGTCCAGAAGTGGACGAAAAACAAGAACTCTCCGCCGGAGTTTACAGCTGGTGATCGCGAAGAAGAACGAGAACAAGTGATACCGATACGTGACCAGCTGCTGATAATCAGAACAACCCGGATGCACAACTCTGCGGCACAAAGATAACTTTCGTTCCGTTGCTTTGCTAAAAAAAATTCGTCACGTTTAACTAGCATCTCTGAAGGAGGAGCTATAGGTTATAATTGTGACTAGGATATGTGCGCCATACAAAATGGCTTAGCACTGCACACCACCAAGAGCCATAAAAAGGACTCTTGTAGTCTTTACACGATCAAAGGAGACAGACCCAAATACTGTCCCGACCGGCGACGAAGTCGTCTATTGGCGAGTCAATGGGCGACACGGTCGCCGGTGTGACAGATATAACTTTCCTACACATGTGTGCATTTGTTAACACACCGGACCAAATTCTTCTATCGAGGCATGACAACATGAAAACTCGGGAGTGACAATACGATACGAGATGTGAGGACACGCACAACAACCTATTGACTAGCGTGCCATCACGTCATGGAACGTGGTCTTGCAGAACTGATGTTGGCTATTAAAGCTACGACACAGGAGACGCGCTGGGTTACAGTTGCCCTTCAAAATGGGCCCTTAAATCTCCCCAAGTTGAGAGAGAGAGAGAGAGAGAGAGAGAGAGAGAGAGAGAGAGAGAGAGAGAGAGAGAGAGAGAGAGAGAGAGAGAGGGAGGGAGGGAGAGAGAGAGAGAGTTATGGGAGAAAAAGAAAGGCGGCAGACCCAGACACATTCTGTTACAAGGGGTTGGCGTGAGACCTCAAATCAATAGGGGATTTCGTGCAGGGGTCGGGAAAACTTGGGGGGGGGGGGGGGGGGGGTCTCAGCCAGCTTAGACATTTTCTAGGCGCCAAAAGGCCTACGCTTTGCTTTAAGTACACAATAATAATGATGACGATGATTAACGACACATTGTATGGCAAATATGCGTATTCGAAATAACATGAACTGTGTAAAATGCCTAAGCGAACTTCAAAACATGGTTATGGGGTGTTAAGACCAAACCACACACAATCTGATACAGTAATGATATGGTAAAAAGTTGAACAAATCCATCCCTAAAGCCACACGAGAAGCGCAAGACAAATACAGAAAACAACGACACAGGGTTTAGTTGCGTATCCTTTACAGGACGTTGTAGAACCAACTCCAACAGCTCCTGGCTGTTATGTGATTTTTCTAGACAAATTTACGTCCAGTAGTTTGCCTTTGCCTCTGGAGGTCGGCTTCTTTGATACCACTGTCGAAACCAACGCAAGGCGCATGGCCCGCAGCTGGGATCGAATTCGGCATCCCGGCATTACGAAGCGTTCGCATCGACTTAGCCACAGAGCTGACGACACTGGGTTACAACATGGTAACTGTGAGACGACAAAAGAAAAACGAAAAGGAATGGGGGGGGGGGGGGGAGAGAAAGCTACTCGTCTTCAGGTTAAGGCGCCAATGGTCTGGCGTAAGCTGGTTCAAGACCAGACCTCTGTTATAAGAGGTTATGAAAGGACCACCATTTCCACTACTGCTGCAGCTGCTGCTACTACTACTACTACTGTTACTATTACTATTACTACTACTACTACTACTACTACTACTACTACTACTACTACTACTACTACTACTACTACTACTACTACTACTACTTCTACTACTAATACTACTACTACTACTGCTGCTGCTGCTGCTGCTACTACTACTAATAATAATAATAATAATCTAAGGAACAAATAAAAAAGACATCCAGCAGCAACAACAGAAGAAGAAAAAAAAAAGAGGAAAGAGGAGGAGGAAGAAGAAGATGTAGATGAAGAAAACAAGCAGTGGCAGAAAAAGACGACGGAGACGAAGAAGCAGACAACGACAACTGTTATCTTCAACCAACCCGGTTATTTCTTTAATCCCTTTAATTTCAGCTTTTACAAAACTCCCCCTGAACCAGAAGCCTCTTTAATAAACCAACAACACTTCCGGCCAGAAAAGAAAGAAGAAAGAAAAACTGGCCTCAGCATTAACACCATCAGGCGCCAGTGTGTGTTGAAACCAAACCTGTGAAATGTCAAGTAAATTATTCTCCACAACTGACAAGTTGCACATCTGTTTGTTTTCCTAAAGCAAGAATTTTATCATCCGTTCTCAAACCCAGGAATCTCCCAGCAGCTTCTAAATATATATATGCCAGCAGACTGCACAGCTGGCGGGTGGGTACAAGACAAAGAATATACACTGTTTCTGTTTATACTTTTCTGCTTTTATACGCATACTATGAGTATGTATCTGTCAGTGTATGCAGATATGTATGTAGGTGCATATGTGTCTGTTGTGCATGTATGTGGGTTAAGAATGTGTATGTATACTTATTTATGTGTGTGTAGGAGTTTTCTTTTTCTTAGAATTCAACGGATGAAAACTGGTTCACAGGATGTAAACTGCAGTGGAAAGTTCTGGCTGTTCGTCCATTTCTGGCTTCCGTCGTTTCAGAACTTTAGTTTTGCATCCACATCAATTTTACAGATCTGACATATCTGTGTGTATACTGATGCTTCTGTGCCTCTCAGACCGATGCGCTCCGACAGAAGCACCCCTAACTAGTCGCCTTTTACGACATAACTATTGGGTGGTGGCGTGGTGCTGACCACATCACCCATCAAGTGCCGTTTGGTGTATAAAAATATAGGTCATGCCCTATGTGTCTAAAGGCGTGGAAAAGGGCCCTTTGCTACTTTATTACTATCGGGTAGTGGGGGACAGTAGGTCTACCCCCCCCCCCCCCCACCCCCAATGGGGCAGTGAAACCCACAAGATGATGTACCTATATATGTATGAGTGCATCTGTGTCTGTTCTCACATGCTTATATGGCTGTATTAACATATCTGTACGTACATGCCTATCTCCGTACATACACGTGCATGTATTGCTCCCATTATACTCTTAGCTGTGCATCAGTGATCTTTAGTAAGAGAAGCATTCATATCTAAACCACAGACTCAGGAGACCCTACAGAAAAATACAGTGAACACGTTCACAATACAGCCATGTAAGGTAGCTAGGTGCTTTGCTAACAAATCGCCAAATTCAACCAGCATCCCTAAGGAGGTGCTTTAGGTTATAATTGTGACTCGGTTATGTGAGCCATATAAAATGGCTTAGCCTTGCACGCCACCAAGAGCCCTGAAAAGGACTCCTGCAGTGTTGTTGCGATCAAAGCAGACAGACCCAAACACTGTCCTAACTTGTGACAAAGTCGTCTACCGGCGAGCCAATGGGTGACGCAGCCATGGGAGTCTGCTGACAACCTAGTCATTGAGAGAACACGCTGCCAGCGAAACTAACAATACCAGTAGGAGCTACTCTGAAGGGAAACAATGGCAGTGATATCGTGATGACAGTTTATGAGGTAAGAACCGGCATCACAGCACTGGGAACATTCCCATAAGCGTCTCATCCCCATCTCCAGCAGCAAGTGCAGAGTTCCAATTCTGACGGTACCAAGGTGAAGATAAAACACACCAAAAATATGCTTACCTCTCTGATTCTGAGTAAGGTATCACTCTCTCTGGATTCAATAATACTGGTGGTCCAGTATGTAGGTAGGATGGCAATATCCCTGACAGCCTGAAATAAAAGAAAAGGTATGATGCAGACCATATAAAAACATTAATGTACTACCAAAGTCCAAAATCTTTGGTTCGAATCCGTCTGCATTTTTGATGGGTCCAAACATTCGTCGTGAGTAATTATTTTCAAAAATCTGTTATAAGACCTTATTTCTTTAAGTTGTGCTTCTAGTTTCAGAGCCATATAAAACTGGTCGTATCAACGTTTTCTATATTTTGATCTTGGTGTTTAGCTTACTGGTCTTATCAACTTTTTCTATATTTTCATCTTGGTGTTTAGGTTACTAATGTCAGACTTAAACACTGAGAGAAGAAAACGAAAGAAAACTAACTACCTGTGAGAGGAGATGTCTGAGAATGGCTGTGAGAAACGACGTGATTACAAGAACTGTTCGAACAACACTGATCGTTAAATTTATTGAGAAACAAAAGAATGAAATGGTTTGGCCATCTAATGAGAATGAAACCAACGGTGCCAGCAGCAAGAGCGGCGTACAACCTGAAAAAAGAAACACTATGAGGCAGGGGAAGACCGAGAAGAAATGGATTGAAGAAGTCACTGACACCTTGTGACTGCATAACATCAGGGCATATCAAACGACTGAGCGGGCTCTGGCTCGGCTGGCAGCCGCCAGATGAACTGCGACGCCTAGCGGCACTGCGACATAAGCAGATATTGACAAAATAAGAAAGAAGAAGTTGAGGGTGAAACGGACTCTGACTTTAGCAGATGTTGAAGGGCATAGTATACTTGATTTCAAGACTGTATTCTACATTGAATAAACTAACAGTTCACATTAATAATAAATAGTAAAATAATGCTAATTTCGTTGACAATGGAAGGTGTAAACTAATTACAGCAGTTATATGTATGCCTCACAACTGCATAAGAAGCAACTAAGGAAGGTTTGGATTTGACTTTTCCCTTAGAAAACTGTAGCTTCAAAATTCAACTAGCCATGAAGAAAGAAAGAAAAAACAAGAAAGAAATAGAATGATGACCTCACTGTACCAGGTTTTTACTGCATGCGGCCAAGTCTCTCTCTCTGCTGCGTGTCTAGCCTCCTGCCGAGCACGTCGCTCAAAGCATGAAAACAGCTAAACCACTTCTCAGTATCTTAACTCTTTTATGCCAAGGAAACACAATGCATTGTTTGCTAACTCCATTAACTCCATACACTGAGTCGGTTTCGTTAACTTCCTCTGCCATAGTCCTTTGTTATGTTAACTCACTGTATCCTTTGTAATTATGATTTGCTCTATTACACAATTATACCATTTTAACTAGGGCTGTACCAAATATTCGCTTCGTATTCGCTTCGGGACCGAATAGTGGACCTATTGACTATTCGGTATTCGGCCGAATAGTTGCGGTCGGGCCGAATACGAATAGTAGTTACCTTACACCCGCTTCTGCATACACGGCTTTAATACTGACAACATGAAACGATTGGTTTTGTTAAAAGCTAATGCAGCTTTCATGCATTAACTAAGATGTCAGTGACAATTTGCAAGTTTAGTTACTTGTTATAATACTTACGATTCTTTCATTCCTAGTTATTAGTTTTCACAGACTGACTGAAGGATGCAAAACATAAAATGTTTTTAAATGTTTACTATTCTGTACGAATACTAACTAGACATGGAAAGAATATCAACTCCGACAATATCCAGGTCGATAATAAGAAAATCAAACGAACGGAAACATATAAGTACTTGGGTGCAAACTTCAACTGCTCCAACATGCTAAGAGAAGAAATACAATCTAAAATACAATCTAGAAATAAAGTATACTATGCCCTTCAACATCTGCTAAAGTCAAAGTGTCTGTCTTTCAACACCAAGATCAAAATATATAAAACGTTGATAAGACCAGTCGTTTTATATGGCCCTGAAACTTTAAGCAGAAATAAAAGAGGTGAGGCCTTATTACATATTTTCAAAAACAGTCTTACGACAAATCTTTGGACCCATCTAAGATGCTAACAGCGGGGAATGGAGAGTGAGAAGCAACAACGTTAACAACGTCCATTGCAAAACATCACTCATATCTCAGTCGGGCTGGGGGGGGGGGAGGGGGGTGTTACTCATAATCTTTGGCTAGCTCTCCCATCCCGCACCTTTCTACACAAGATGTCCTTTATATGTTGTGCTGGTTAACCTCTGCCCCTATCTCCTGGTACCAGGCCTTCTGCTATGATTGTTTTCTAAGCCCCCGTGGCCTGACTTCAAGAAAAGAAAAATAAATCACAAGAGGTAGAGCAATATGTAGAAAACAAAAACAAATGAACAACACAGAACTGATATAGCCTTATGTACATGTATACTGAGAGGGGGGTCTGAACGCTTATGGACAGAATGGTTAAAGTGAGGACTACTAGTAACTGTGTCTAAGAATTTGGACTGCCTCTGTTATACTTCAAGTCTTACTAGAAGAATAGAAGAATGCTACTCCCTCCAAGACCAGACAAGTGGAACACCTTGTACGAAGGAAAAGTACAGTTTGTGAAAACATGCAAATTCCACTACATGGCTTTGGGCCAGAGGGCGAAAGCTTATGCGCCACTGGTTCAATAACAACAAGTCTTACTAACACACTCATCAGCGGATAGTTATCTGCTAGTGCAATGTGACACACTCTAAATATAACTGCACTGATAAAAGTTATCAAATAGAGACTACGGTTATGTGTAAGAGCAAGCAGCTATGCATGTCACATAAACTAGGTCATCCCATCATGATGTTAGATGAGCAGCAACCACAAACTAGGTCATCACATGGTGATATTGGATGAGCAGCAAGCACAAAAACTAGATCATCACATTATGATGTTGGATGAGCAGCATCCCACACATACTAGGTTATCACATTATGATGATGGATAAGCAGCAACCCTCATAAACTAGGTCATCAAATTATGATGTTGGATGAGCAGCAACCACACAAACTAGGTCATCAAATTATGATGCTACACGAGCAGCAACCACACAAACTAGGTCATCAAATTATGATGCTACACGAGCAGCAACCACACAAACTAGGTCATCACATTATGATGTTGGATGAGCAGCAACCACACAAACTAGGTCATCAAATTATGATGTTGGACGAGCAGCAACCACACAAACTAGGTCATCACATTATAATGTTGGACGAGCAGCAACCACACAAACTAGGTCATCACATTATGATGTTGGATGAGCTGCAACCACACAAACTAGGTCCTCACATTATGATGTTGGACGAGCAGCAACCACACAAACTAGGTCATCACATTATGATGTTGGATGAGCAGCAACCACACAAACTAGGTCATCAAATTATGATGTTGGACGAGCAGCAACCACACAAACTAGGTCATCACATTATGATGTTGGACGAGCAGCAACCACACAAACTAGGTCATCACATTAGGATGTTGGATGAGCTGCAACCACACTCAGTCTGCTTTCCAAACTTACAGACAGCCTACTTGATGTTGGGTAGGTTGAGAGTGATGCTAAACTTGCTTTTCAACTGTCACAGCAACTATCATCATCTTCTTCTTCTGAGTTTGTCGTTACATGGCGGTTGGCACACTGTGGTGTACAGCTAGGGTGCCTTTCAGCCCAAGACATCAAAGTTATGCAAACCCCTATTCAGCTGCAGTTTTAGAGCGAGTTCATTTTTTTATGCCCCATATTTTTTTTTCCTTAGCGATCCCCATGTGAAAACTCCAGTGGAAAGCTCTAGTAATTCTTCAACTTCCGGACATCGGTTAAAAACCTGTTCCCTAACTTTGAGTTAGACATTTTTTTTACTATAGACCAATCAGAATTCAGCTGAGGAAAAGACACTGTCGTTGGCTAAGAAACACACTGTAAAAACCTAAACAGTATAATGTGAAATGTGTTTCTTTTGGCACCGGACTACACAGTGTCAAAGACAGTGGGCAAAAACACAGAGAGAAAGGAATTGAAAAGTGAAAAGAGATGCGAGATGGTGAGCTGCCAAGAATGGGATGATATGGTGTGAGTTGTCTGAAGGTCTATGCTCCACTGATGAATACACAGCAGGAACACATACTGGAGTGGAAGAATCAGCACACAGAAACAGAGGCAGACCAAAGAAAACTTGGAGAAATAAATGTGAAACAGATGTGAAAGAAACAGGGAGGACAGGTGGAGAACTGCATGTAACAGCATGGCTGTCTCAAGTCCTTGTTGTTTTTTTTTTTTGTATGGACGCCATCAGAAAAAAAAAAAAAAAAAAAAAAAAAGGCGCCGTGACTAAGAAAAGTTGAGGAAACAGATTCAATCTTCACTCGTTTTGAACTGCTTGACTCAGCCAAGGACTGATCAGGGATCTAGGATGACAGGAGAAATCAATACTTTAGCTGACACTATATCTGGGTAAAACTGATATATTAACTGACACGCCACCAAGAGCCTTGAAAAGGACTCCTGCAGTGTTGATCCGATCAAAGGAGACAGGCCCAAATACTGTCCTGACCGGCGACTAAGTCGTCTACCGGCGAGCCAATTAGCGACACATTCGCCGGTGTGTCAAATATAACTTTCCCATACATGTGTATATATGTTAACACACCGGACCAAATTCTTCTATGGCGGCATGACAACATAAAACACGGGAGTGACTATACGAGATGTGAAGACATGCGCAACAAGCCATTGAATAGCGTGCCATCACGTCATGGAACGTGGTCTTGCAGAACTGATGTTCGGTATTAAAGCTATGAATGTGAAGTGGCGTGAATGTATACATGTATGCAAATATGAGTATTTATATGTTCTTTTTGAACGAGTATTATGTATGTCTGTACGCGTGTCTATGATTATTGCATATCTGAATGTCATTTACTAGCTACGTGTTTGTGTATTTTACTTGATACGCTTAGTATGCGTACAGTTATGTAAATTCTAACCTGCTTTAAAAGATAAAATAATAGAACTGCAGTATGAAACATGACTGTTTCGAGGGACGAATGTATGACTGGCC